GCCACTGACGGAACCGTGCCCTGAGATTATACCACCTCGTAGATCTCAGAGAAATCGACGTGCACCTTCCTACCTGAGTGATTATGACTGTTCATAGTGTTTTTACTTAGGGGGGAGGGATTTGTAATGTATTCAGATGCTGCCCTGAATGCATGAGGATGAAGTGTGAATCATCCCATAGAGAAGCTATGTTAAGCTTCAGACATCGGCTAGGATTCGCGCCGAAAGTATTGTGTCCAATCACATTTGAACTGTCTGTGGTGGGAACACTTGTGATTGGGCTATTATGCGAACAACCTGATAGGTTGGTACTTGTATAGTAGGTGTGGCTACATTAGCCCGGAATGTTTAAATACCGAACAGCTGCAATGGAAAGCTGTTCGGGCTATGAGGAGTTGTACCGTGTTGGAGAAGTTGATTATCGAGCTGAATAAACCTGAGTTTTTTGCTGAAATCACTCTCTGACTTATTGTTAAGCGCCGGACTTAACAGGTTTATTACAAAAACAGTGGGGCAGGGAAAAACAAGACACGGCAAAGGTGCTTAAAAAGGGTATAACAGGGTGAAAGGAAAAATAAACATAACCTAACGCAGCTACCTGTTTCTACTTCCAGGCCCCAGCCTGCCTAGCACTCACGCTGAGCCCAGTGTACATCTCCCTCTCTCCCAGACCAGCCTGTCCCCACAGTGGGACCAGGCCGCAGAGAGAGACCCGAAGAACACCCTGTTTTTCCTCAGCGAACAGCTAAGACCCTCTCCTCACACAGTTCAACCGTCTCCTCCCAGACTGTCTTCCCAACCGACTTCAACGGTCCCTTTAGAATCCTCTCTGACTCTCCCAATGCCTTCTGGGAGTTGTAGGCCTAGCTGCCTCCTACTGCCACCCAGGCCTCTTAGGCTGGCTAGGCTGTGCTGGCAAAGGCCAGATCATGGCAATGTTTTACAACAGTCTGGAGTGCTGGTTGTTGGATACCAAATGGATATGTTTTTTTTTATTCTGATGCCTAAGCTAGGGTGCTATTTTGTAGATTGTAATTTATGTATTTTGTAGATATATGTTTATCTTTACTTATTGTTTTATTGGTGTTGTGAGCTATCTTGAGCCCAGTAACCCAGGGGAGGGACAGGGTGTAAGTCTAAAAATAAATAATTATAAATAAATAAAATTATTGGGTGATGTTTTTAGCTCCATACCATGAAAAGCTTCAACTACCCATTTCTACATATGAACCTTCCATTAAAGTGACAGGACTTAAAAAAAAAAATTCTCCTGGCCAACTGCCAGCTCTTTTCACCATGCAAAAGGACACCGAGACTGAGGTTCAGTTAAACATATCCAGAGCCAGTCTGGCCTTTTATATATTTTTGCTGTGCACACTCTTATTGGTCCCGGGATATTTACATGGCATAGTTTCTACAACTGGATTAGCTCTAACCATTTGTCCAGGACTGAAGAAAGATTATCTGGGATAAATTGCAAGTATAGTAGTAAGAGAGGAATTCAAGAGATCAGCACATTTTCAGCCTCCCTTTGCATAAAAAATACACTTTGAGTGTTAGAATTTCACATGTCTTGAGCAAGCATAGTTAACTGTATAGAAATTAACAGAACAATGCTAGTTTACACCACTAAAGGTATGGCTATGAAAGTTTACTTTTGCAAACTGGAAATCCCACAAGGTCTCATTTAATGTTATAATCGAAGAGACATTTTTCTTAGTTTAACTTAAACCCCACTGAGAAAGACCTTAGGGTCTACGATGTCTCCAGTTACCTCATGCAATGGGCTGAATCCTGACCGAGTGTAAATTCGGGGGGAGTGACACCAGTAGCTACTGATATGCTTTTAATAACCCCCTGAGCGAGGAACTGAGATTCCACTTAGGCCCTTTGCAAAGACTTTCTTTTTAAATAAAGCTCCAAGAGACCTATTAATATCACCTGCTTGATGAGGTGGATGCAGAATGAATCAGTGATTGCCAATTAACAATATTCAAGAGAATATTTCCCAGCAATGTATTTTCCTCTTTTAATGTTCAGGTGGGGTACTTTTCTAATCCTGGACAGCCTGGTAGCCCACAATCAAATGCAACACAAATTCTTTCAGCAATTTATGGAGTTTTACAACACTTCCTGTAAAATTCTGAAATGAAGGCTTAAGGGAATGTATCAGGACTAGTCTGAGGGAAATCCCATTTTATTCAATGTTAGCTTACTCCCAGGAAAGTACTCTTAGAAATGCATCTGAAGAGACTGCCAATCTAGTATCTGAACATAGCAAAGGCATTTTTTCCCCTGTCTCTCAGTGCATTTTGATGGCCAGAAATGTCGCAAATTCATACCCCTGTATTTTCAACAAAAACTTTAATTGATGGATGCCTGTGTGTCAGGCTACTATTAAAGCCAAGAATTACAATAAAACAACAACTGTGAGCTGAAATACCCGCAAGTATAAATGTACATTTATACTTGCGGGTATTTCAGCTCACAGTTGTTGTTTTATTGTTGTTCTAGGCTACTATTAAAGACATGTGAGGAAGGTTAGGGGGAAATGGTAACCTTATGCATGACAGCAAAACTACAGAGGGCTGTTTTCTCTAGCAGCATTTTAAAAAGAAATTCTCTTAATTCTTCTTCAATTTCATCCTGAAATCCATCAACCCATTTCTCTCCCCCCCTTTTTTCTTAGCAATGAGGAGTCTATTTCAAGTCAATTCCATTTTGATCAAAGATAAATTTGAAGAGAGGAGTGGAAAGAAGGGAGGTTCTGCATAATTTCATAATTTCAATCTGTAGATGCTCAGAGGCAAGCAATGTCTTTCCAGACCTTCCTAATCTCCTGCTACCACACCATCCTGTGGCATGTACCATAAAACAACTGCAAGGGGTGAAGGTTGAAAAGGGTGCATTGTTTTCTCTTCAAAGAAGGTTTACCAAAGAGAAATCCCTGTTTTAAAAAAAGGGGTGCGAGAAATCAGTGGCTATATCTTTAAAAAGTGAATTTTGGGAAAGGAAACTATCATCCTCATAACAACACTATCTGCTGGAAGATTAAATATGAGAATCTCAGACAACTTAATTAAATAATAACAATAACAGCAACAACAACATAAATCACTTATCAAGCATTTAAGGATGCACTTTTGAATCTCAGCAGTTTTAGGGTGTGATCACATGAGCAGTTTGGCCCGACATAACCATCCTTCCCCTCATGAACAAACATGCTCCCATGCCCCAGTCATTCATACCTCACAGTAAAACAACTCCCACATGGATTAAATAGCCACCAGAAAATTCCAGTGGCTATCTTGGTGAGGTGCTTCCATGGCGGGGTTCCAGGCATCTGATTGCCCAGGCATGCCATGGAAATGCATGAGTGGTGTGACCGTTCCACTCCATTTCCGGTGCATCCTTTCCCCCCACAACCTCACTCTGACATGCACTTCAGTGCCTCCATAGAACACAGCCAGGAGCACATGTGCATTTGTCTGGTTCTGCACATGCACAGCAGGACTTGGGGGGGGGGACAACAACCCAGCCATGGGTCCATGGTTGTGGTTCATTAGCAATGTGAATGACCAATCATGGGTAGTCCTAATTGGAGTTTTAAAATCATGACTTCTTATGGAAACCCATAAGAATTGTTTGTTTTTATTTTATTTTTTTATAATGTTCTATTGTGTGAGCCACCTTGAGTTCCACAAGGGAGCCCTGTCCCCTTCCCTGCCTGTTCAGGACAGAAACCATGGCTTGAATCCTGCAATACTGTTGTCGTTGCCTAGAAATTGTCACTGAAAGCATCCATTTCTTACAATCACAATTGCTGCCAATAATATTTTAAGGTTTTTTCACCCCCTTAACTTGGGTCATTTTTCAGATCTGTAGAAACATCCGTCCAGTTTTTTCATGGTTCCAGTCTTTGGATTCAAGTATCCACAGATTTTGGCCATGCTGATAATTAGATATATTGATTTCAGTGGGGGCCATAGTACCCATGGATGCCACACTGGATATCACCAGTCTGGGGTCGTATCATGTCTCCCTACAGCTCACGTTGATTCAAATATTTAATTGATATGCTAGACTCAACTCATGTTGATAGACTAGACTCAACATGTCCCATTATTCTTCATAGAGAAGACTGTTTCACATAGTAATTCATAGAGAAGAATACTTCTGATAGGAAGGTGAACAAATTCATGTTTAGTTAGCCATTACCACACAGAACTGGGATTAGCACTAAGAATACACAAAATAGACTGTCTTCAGCCAGCCCCAAAAAGTTTGTTGATGCTCTCTGACCATATTTCCAATTTAGTTTTTCTGGTGACGAGTAAACCAAATGAACTCAATACCATTGTTGAATCTGAATGATGTTTATAGCATTGTCCCACAACAATGTCTGGTTCTGGATTGATCTAATCAACTTTAGTTGTGCATAGGGGTAGAAGTGACCCCTTAGGTAGAGAGGGCCCAAGAGGCAGATACCAAAAAAAAAATTGGTCTACATAACATCAGAAAACTAATTAATATGTCTGTTTGGTCTTGTTGGGACCACTCAGCTTGATCTCCCTTCTGTCTCACGGTCCAGTTTTCCATAGGGAAATACTTGTTGCACAAACTTTAACCAAGGTTTTTGCTACAACTCCTTGATGATGGTCTAATGGTGGTACATTCTGGTGATATTCCCTCCAGGAGCCAGAGGATGTTTAACTATCCTAAGCATTTTGCAAGACATGTGAAGTGTTTAATATGGTGGATTGAGTCCAATATATTTCATAGTTCCCCAAAAGAGTTGTGTCATACATGCTATTACAGTACTGTAGCATGTATATGGCTTTAAAATTATCCATTGTTTTCCATAAACTTTGGGTATTACCTGTGGTGCTGAAAAATGGAAAAACAGATATACTAAATGGTAACTTTTCATAAACTTATTATTTCCTTGAGTCTTTTGCAATGCATAAATTTCTACCTTCTTTTAATCTACAAAATATCCATTGTACACAACTCAATCCCTGCATAGTTGGGAATATACAGGGTATTTGTATGTATTTTTGGAAGAGTACATGTTACTCAAAGGGAGATCAAATCTTTTTTTAAAACCTTCTTTATTGATTTGTCTATAGACACAGTGTTGTCAATATCATGGCTATCAGTGTTACTATTTGCTCTTAGCCAATTCTTGCGTTCTCTGTAGCTCCTATCCTGGGTAATTCATGTCTCAAGACCATTGGCATAGCATTTTTGGTGGTCAAAATTGTCCTGTCCTCCCTCTTTCACCAGCAGAAAAGCTGGTGAGATCCAACACCCATGTTTAAAAACAGAACAGACTAAGAGAAGTACCCCCGGATCAACCATTAAGTCTGTTCAGGATACTTCCTTATATTATCATTATCAGCTACCTAGTAGGTGAAAGGTAGACTTTAAAAAAAAGAAATGTGTCATTTCTACCTCAAAGAAATTTAGAACATTGCACTTATATGTTATAATGCCACAAGGTTGATGTGTGCTAAACTTTGGGAATATAAAAGAAAACCAACACACAAAGCTTTTTTTGCATAAAATTAATATTTATGTATAAAATTATTAATGTTACAAAAAAGGAGAAGAATTGGATTTATACCCCATCCCTTCACCCAGAGTCTCAGAGCGGGTTATAATCTCCTTCCCGTCCTCTCTCCACGACATACACCCTGTGAGATAGATGGGACTGAGAGAACTGCTCTTGAGAGAAGAAGAAGAGAATAGATTGGATTTATATCCCTCCCTTAACTACCCAAAGGTGTCTCAGAGCGGCTTACAAACTCCTTTCCCTCCCCCTCCCCACAACAGACACCCTGTGAGATAGGTGGGGCTGAGAGAGCTCTGACAGAAACTGCTCTTTTTCAAGAACAGCTCTTATCAGAACTATGACTTGCCCAAGGTCATCCAGCCAGGTGCAAGCGAAGGAGTGGGGAATCAAACCCGGTTCTCCCAGATTAGAGTCCACGCATTTAACCACTACACCAAACAGAACAGTGTCTGACCCAAGGTCACCCAGCTGGCTGCATTTGGAGGAGTGGGGAATCAAACCAGGTACTCCGGATTAGAGTCCACTGCTCTTAACCACTACACCAGATATTGAATGTATCTGGACACACGTGTTAAGTTGCATGAAACAATCAATGTGATTATATCTACTTCTTGGGTCTCAGTCAAATATCTGTCATATCTTTAGTTCTGTTTTTTCCCCCTGATCTTCAAAAAAAATGGCCCTTTATTTTATAATATTTATACTATACTATATATGTATACACACCTGTTAACATAGAATTAAACAACACCACTGGCAATGCAAACATGTACCCTAGTTGATAAGTGCCGTATATGTGCTGGTGTTTCTATACATTTTAATTGAATACAGCATTTTCCTTGTTCACTTCAGTGATAAACACAGGGTTGTGTGATCTTCTGCTTTCATAGACTTCCTCCCATTTTCAATGTGAATTAGCAAGTCTGTGCTCACGGAGGATTGTGTGAGCATATTATACCACCCACAGATCTTTGGAGTGAAGTTTCTTATCTTTCTGGCATCTGAAATATTTTGTTACCCAATTTCCATAGTGCTCCTTTCACCTCTTTGTTCCTCAGACTATATATGACAGGGTTCAGTAGTGGAGTAACAACACAATAGAATAGAGTGAACCATTTGTCTTTATCCAAAGAGTAACTGGCCTTAGGCCGTGTGTACATAAAGACAGCTGTGCCGTAATACAGGGATACTACAGTGAGGTGAGATGAGCATGTGGAGAAAGCTTTGCTCCTGCTTTTGGCTGAGCTCATCTTCAGAATGGTAGTGATGATATGGGTGTAAGACATGAGAACAAGAATGAAGGGCAACATCAGCACCACACCAGCGACTGCAATGACTTGGACTTCATTCCAATAAGTATCCCCACAAACAAGCGTGAGCAAAGGCTGAATGTCACAGAAGAAATGGTTAATGATGTTGGGTCCACAAAAGGGGAGAGAGAAGATAACAGCTGTGTGTCCTGCTGCCACCATGAATCCAACAAACCAACATGCAGCAGAGAACTGGAGGCAAATCCTCTTGTTCATGATGGCTGTGTATCGTAGTGGGTTGCAGATGGCCACATAGCGGTCATATGACATGACTGTGAGGAGAAGACATTCTGTGACACCTAGCAGTAAAAAGAAATAGAGCTGTGTTGCACACCCAACAAAAGAGATTTTGGTTTCTTTCAAGAGCAGATTCACTAGCATGTTGGGTATGGTGACTGAAGTGAAGCATAATTCCAAGAAAGATAAGTTCTTCAGGAAGAAATACATGGGAGTTTGTAAGGCACCATCAGCAGTAATTATGGCAATAATGATGATGTTGCCAACTACCGTAAGGAAATACAGGCAAGAAAATACCACAAACAGTAGAAGTTTCAGTTCTGGGAGTGTCAAGAAACCCAATATAATGAATTCAGTCACAGATGTTTTATTTTCCATGGCATATCTTTCAGCATTCCCTGCTGAGAAATCAAAAGAGAAATCATTAATATTGAGTCCCAAATACACAGATATATTCATTTATATAATTTCATGTACTTACTGACACATATAATCAGTAACAGAACACATCATTTACAAAAGCTGTCAGAGTAAAAAAGTCATGGGCTGGATCCAAGGCTTCTGTTCCACTAACAGTGGAGGTTTCCTCCAATCCAAGGACCTTTGTGCTAGTATGAGGTGTGTTAACTGGTGGAAGGTACCTCATGCTAGAACAAGTCTCCTTTCTTACGTTTGGTGCCAAAGGTTTTGTTCTGCTATCTAATAGTTGTATTTGGCTAGTTTTATCCACTAAATCTTGCCTCATTCTTTCTGTTTGTTTGTTTGTTTTTGTGTGTATGTGTATGCACCTGGAAGTCATATTGACCTCTGGTAACTGACCCCCTACTGGGGGCCTGGAGGATATTCAGAGAGGTGGCTGAAAAAAGCCTGCCCCTGACCTCCCAACTTGGTATTCCAAAGAGGTCTCCCATCCAAGTACTAATGAGAGTCAACCCTGCTTAACTTCCAAGTTCTGACAAGATTGGGCTTGCCTGGGCTACCCGAGTCAGGGCAATCTTGCCCCATTCTTCTCCTTATTACAGTCCCCATCTCAAATGGCTATTGTCCATTCAAGTCCCATGATCCCCAACATAGCCTTTTTAAAGGTCACAGGGCACCTTTGCTTCCTTTATCACTGTCACAAAAGCTAGTTAGATAAAATCCTATATTTGTCTATCTGTACATTTTCATCCTGTCTATAAACTCAAATGTTATTTTATCCTCATAAAAACCCTGTAAACCGGGTAGATTAGAGAGGGAAGTGATTTATCCATGGCCAAACATGAGGAACTGTGGTGCACCAGGACCCTTCCATACCTATGCACTAGATCAAGCTCTCCATTTTAGCATTGTCACGTGAAGTGGGTTCATACCAAGGTAAGTTATCCTCAGAATTCCAAGAGAAAAAAAATCCCAATATATTTTTTTCCATGGGATTCCATGGAATTAGGTCCTATGTAACCTCCAATAAAACTGGATTCAGACTGAATCAAAATGTGTGCATTTCTCCTTAGGTAAAATTTTGAGTGCAGCAACTTTCCTCAAAGAGGTTCACACATCCTTATTAGGTAATAGGCCACAAAATCAGTTTAATGAAATGTGGATTACAGTGTGTCCAAAACAAGCATCCAATGCTGTATAGAAATGGAGGAGAGAACAACTCAATCTAGAAAGACAAGCCACAGGTTTAAAAACCAAAAGCAAAACAAAACTAAGCTTCTAGCCAGTTTGGAATACCAGTAAATTTTGCCTAGACAAATGCCATCCACTCAGTCTCCTAAATTATTTAGGTGTGTGAATTTTAAAGATGTGTTTTTTACTTCTTTTTTTGGGGGGGGGGACTAAAGGCTAACCAGCCCTGACTAGGATGGCCCAGGCTAGTTTGATCTCATCAGATCTTGGAAGCTAAGCAGGGTTGGTCCTAGTACCTGGATGGAGACCACCAAGGAAGTCCAAAGCTGCTATACAGAGATACAAGCAGCAGAGATGCATGGAAGGGAATAAGTAAAATAAAAGATACAAAAGATCAAACCATGCATAAATAATGAAAATATATTCAAGAATCAATAAGTATAATAATCTAAACATATTCAAATAGAATACTTTTTCATAAATATGATATAGTAATCAGGAACTCAAAAGAACATGATCCAAATACAAAAAACAGTCCTATTAATACACCTTCAGAAATAGTCCAAGTTAAATTCCTCAAAAAGTGAAAAGTTCAAATACAGATGTTTATCATTCCTCTTCACAAAATCCTCATCTCGCCACTTGTGTATCCACTTCACAGCCCCACTGGCTTTAAGTTTCCGTATCACCTTGCTTCCTCAAAAATGAAACACCAAATCTGCCCAGCTCCAGTGTTAAATCATACACAGCACTTTAGCATTCTTAATGTACGTAAAACCAATTAGTGTGATGTATGCAGAGGTAGGCAATCGTTGTCCACCTCTGAAGTCTCTTGCCTTGAAAATTCTATGGGGTTGCCATAAATTGGCTGTGACATAATGGAACTTTCCAGCACCAAACATTCCTAGTCTAAAGCTAGCTTCTAGGCTTTTCTCTGTATTTCTTGTAACACCTCCTCTGCCTCACTGGTTTGAATCTAACCAGCACTTCTGGTGATAAAAAGGCAGAAGAGTCCTCTGTGTCCACTTGTAACTCACAGGACCTACATGGACAAAAGCTGTATGAGACAGAAGCAGCAAAAAGAAGGAAAATTGGGGGATACTGATCAAAAATCATAACTGGATCCCACCAAAATATCATCAGATCAGTGTCTAATTAAGAACTACATTCAGTGGGTTGTTTCTAGCAAATCCATGCACCCAATCTCACCCAATTCTACTCCTTACTACAGCCTCTGTCCCACATAGCTCTTGTGTGTTTGTTTGTATCATTTCTCTGTGCTTCTCAGAATGTCGTTGGACCAGATTGAGAAAACATGGAGAAACAACAAAGGAAGCAAGAAAAGACAAATGGAGAAAACAAGGACGTGACTTTTGGAAAAGAAAATTCTATCCCCATAACAACTCCACAAATTACATTCTAGAATGCAAGGAAGTCAAATACAATACAAACTCTTCAAATTAAGTATGAAAATTAATTAGACAATGATTCAGAGGTGTTTACCTTTACTCTTAATTCTTCTGTCTTTTGAAGAAAGCGTAAATCTGTGTGGCCTGGTGTGGAGAGCATTACACTCATATTACTGAGATAGGAATTCTTCCCCTATGTATTATGAATAAATATTCCTAAGAAAGGTGTTCTTTGTTGCAAATGGAGCTCCTGAACCAGGGTTTTAGATGGAATGCCTTTTACAATATCCTTTTGCACTGAAGAATGTTGTAAATTATTCACAGAGAAAAAACACTACATTGCATCATGATCTTTAAAAGATTAACCTAGCCAGGAAATAAACAGAGTCAGTGTTCATGTCTGTGGAGAGTGACCCTATATCTTTTATTGTCAAGGATTTGTCAGCAGAGCTGAAACTGCCCATCTTTAATACTTCAGGGGATATCAGCCTTGCTACAAGACAACAGTCACAATTAAACTGTAAAGATACCAAAAGGAAAATGGTAGACAAGTGTATACAGAAATTCCACACACGTGAACATGAAAAATATTGTATTTTTAATGACACTGAAAGCTGTCATTTCAACTTTGCAACCTATAGCAAAACAAACAAGCAACATGGTGGTTGAATCCAACCAGCTTTTCCACTGGTGGTGGGGCTTCACTTTGATCACTAAAACAAACAAGCAGACAAAAAGTTATTCTGGGGATCATGAGATCTGCATGTATAAAACTGTGAGAGATGGGGGTAAGGAGGATAATTGGATCAACAGTTTGATCGGAGTCCAGTAGCACCTTAGAGACCAATAGGTTTTGGGGGGGCATAAGCTTTCAAGAGTCAAAGGCCCCTTCATCAGATGCAGCTGTATCCATCAAGGCATGTCACCTTGCAAATGGGAATGACCAACCGCTGCCCTTAGCTGAGCATTTCCTACTGTGGTTCCCACCAGGTGGAGTGGCCTGCCTGATGAGGTCAGGAAGGTTCCCCACACCAACTCATTCCCCAGTATGTGTTAAACAGAATTGTTCAGGAGAGCTTCTTTAAGAGAGGGAGTAGATTTGTAGTTCTCATGAGGTAGATAAATAAACACATTTAAATGGATCAGAAATTGCCAAGTCAGTCCTGAGGTGTGAACAGCACCCATTTCAACAGCAAGTTGGACTTTGAAATTTGGAGTCAATACCTTGCATCCTGCCATTATTATCTGATTATTGATGTGTGCTTCTGACAACTGACACTTTAAGTAACTGAAGGTCTCCTGATTCCTCAGAAGTTAACAGTTTGGGAGGCTCAATGATTTCTAGTGGTAAGGCAGGAAAGTTGCTTTTCCCAAGCACTGTGCTGCTTGCCGTTCATCATATACAAATTGTAACATACCACGTATTTTCAGGCATTTTTCTGCACCTCTTGATAGCAGAATAGACTACTTTTTTAAAAAATGATGTTCACAAGTTCATACATGAGGCATTGGTGGGTCTCCCCCCCCCCATTGAGTCACAGCTGACTTTATAGTAACTCAGTGTTTTCAAGGCAAAAGACAAACAGAGGTGGTTTGCCATTGCCCTGCCTCTGTGTGGTGAACCAAGATTTCCTTGGTGATCTCACATCCATATACTAACCCGGGCTGACCCTGCTAAACTTCTGAGATCTGATAAGATCAGGCTAGACTAGGCTGCTCAGGTCAGGTCACATGTTGTGGAGTGGGCTGTGGAATGAGCTGCTTGAGGAGATGAGGGGGGGCATAGTCTTTCTAGGAGGTGCTACAAGGCCATTTCATTTTCCAGGGCTTTGAACAGGGTTAAAAATGAAGGTATCTCTATGTGAAAGGGGGTTATTTGGGGTTTTACTTTATTGGTTATAAATAATGATGTTTTTAGTTCTGATTTGTAATCTGCCTTGAGCCGGAAGGATTGACAGAATGTAAATTTTAAACTCAATCAATAAACGAAAACTCCTTATTTATCTATTTGAACTGTGCAACAAAAGCTACTGTAAACCAAATTGGGGGAGAATGAGCAAAAAAAGAGAGCCATCTGGATCCAACACAACATTTCATCAGATAAACAGAAGATCAGTAGCTAATGAACAGTATAATCCTAGGGACAGTTTCCTGAGTTTAAGCCCCATTGAATCAATGTACATAGGATTCTGAGTAGATCTGTTTAGGATTGTTCTTCAATAGCTGGACTATACAATGCAGTTTTGCTGATCTTGTAAAAGACTGAAATGGTTGGAACCAGGAAAATCTCAAGCCTAAGGGAGTCTTATGATGCTGGAGCTATCATGGAATCCAAAATGGATACTCTACTGTAATGGGCAGTGAATGGTTAATTCCTGGTCTGAGAACGCTGATTGACAGGAGGTTCAAATGGAATTCTACAGTTGAGACTGGCAGTTAAGAGTAGCAGTTGAGGCTGTCAGTTCAGATAAGCAGAGTGAGAGGAATGAAGAGGATTCAGAATTATAGAAGTGGGACCAGTAGTCCTTCCCTGATGGAAATAGCTACTACTAAAAGCGGGTGATCCCTATCAAGTGTTTAAGAAGGAAAACTAGAACTCGTGTTTATGTTCCTGCCTTCACAGACAGACAAGAAGAAGAGGAGGAGGAGGTTGAATTTATCTCCCACCCTTCACCCTTCGGAGTCTCAGTTTCCCTTTCTCCTTTCTCTTCCCCTCCCCACAACAGACAACCTGTGAGGTGGGTGGGGCTGAGAAAGCTCTTTCAAAGACTGCTCTTGAATGAACAGCTCTGAGAGAACTTGTGAGTGACCTAAGGCCACACCAGCAGCTGCATGTGGAGGAGTGCAGAATCAAACCTGGTTCTCCCAGATTAGAGTCTGCGCTCCTAACCACTACACCAAACTGGCTCTAGACAAAGAAGCATATGCCTGTTTATTTACAGCACAATTCTAAAACTACTTTCCTGGGAGTAAGTCCACAGCTGCAGATGAATTCATACTGTTGGGCTTTGCTGAATCTCTGAAGCTGCACATCTTTTTCTTTGCCCTCTTTCTGTCTCTTTATGTAATCACTTTGCTTGCCAACATAGTAGAATTTTAAGTAGACCCAGGGCTATTTTTGGGTTTTTGGGCAGGAATGCACAGGAACGGAGTTCCAGCTGGCTTCACAGTTGGCCATGCCCACTACAGCCAAAACCTCTGTGTGCGTAGCTACGGAGAGAAGGCCTGGAGAGGGACCCCCCCCCCCCGGCCACTCCGAGGTGGGGGGGCCGGGGGGGCTGGAAGGATGGGGAGGTATTTAAATGCCTCCCTGTGCTTCCCCTGGCCTTTCCAAAGGCTGGCTTGCCTGGGCTCCCCGCAGCCACAGGGCCCCCAGGCAAGGCAAGGGAAGGCAGTTTAAACTGCCTCCCCTCCCCTCCCCTCCAAGGGCCAGCTGGCCCGGGCTCTTCACAGCTGCTGCTGGATGTGGCCTATTATGCTAATGAGTTCCTGCTGGGCTTTTTCTACAAAAAAAGCCTTGAGTAGACCTGCTTAGGATTTCTCTCGTTAGCAGTAACAGCCAAGAGATTTCTCTCCACAGTTTTAAAGACCATCTGTAGAACCAAACAGCTACTTTATTGTGCCAAACAGTCTATTGTTTATAGTAATACAAAGTTACTTCATTCCTGTTGCTGTATCACCTGCCAGGTTTAAACCTATCTGGCAGTCTGACTTGACCCTTTCCCCACAAAAGTGAAATAAAATAGTTTGCTTTGAATTAATATCAGCCTCTTGTATGAAATTATCAGACATACAAAAAATAAGGATTTTTGCCTGTTTCTCAGTTCCCTAAGCTATGTCTATATTTAAATAACTTGGTGGGACAGACAGAGAAACTAAGAACAAAAGGGGTTGCTCAGCCAAAGAAAAGAAAAAGAGTAAGCAGGGGAATCGTTATATCTGCATTAATGATACATTTGTGGTTAAGACGCTGAACTGCAGACTGGAAGGTCAGTAGTTCAGCAGTTTGAGACCTGAGTGCCTCATGACGGAGTGGGCTCCCATATTTGGTCCCATCTTTGGCCAACCTAGCAGTTCAAAAGCAAGAAATTGCAAGTAGATAAATAGGTACCACTTCGGTGGGAAGGTAACAGTTTTCCGTGTGCCTCGGCATCTAGTCACGCCAGCCACATGACCATGGAAATGTCTTTGGACAGCGCTGGCTCTTTGGCTTGGAAATGGAGAATAGCACTGCATCCCTACAGTCATATTCAACAGGCTTTTGAGCAAGGGAAACGGTTACCTTTACTAAAAATGTTCCAGGCTGACGATATCTTAGTACAAATGAGTTGAAAATTTCAATGTGAAATATAACTGGTTTTTATTATTTTCAGTAAATGCACATTTAAATGTTTACAGGAGAGTTACAACCCCAGAGTTTCTATGTAAATTTTAAGGGGGGTAATGTGGGAAAAAGCCATGCATAATCAAGGGCTCCAGTGATGAGAGGAATCAGGTATGATTTACCTGAAACACTGGTATCCAGTCTCTTGTCTTCATAGTTATATGATGCAAACAGCAGCAGAATTAATAGCCAGTTATTTTAACAGAGTGACATTGCTTTAGACTGGGGTACATTAACAGAAAAATATAGTTGCCAATAAAATACAAATGTCTTCCTATGTTTACATGCCTTGGTGCAGTTGCAAGCTAAGACATCTAGTTACTTGTTATAGCTGGTAACACCAGTTCACATTTCCAGTCATATCAAAAAAATATATGAGGATAAGACCAGCATTGCCCCCCCCAGTTGGAATAAAGAGACAGACACCAATATGGATTTAACAAGGGCCACTTTATTAATTATTTAATAACAACAAATACTAGCGAGGAGTTACCAGAAATGTAATGAGGAATATGACAGGTGTCAAACTCCTGACCACCTTCATTTCCTTTTGGGCGATGCACCTGCTCTGATCTCAAGCCACCGAAGGTAGCTTTCAACCAGCAGTGTGGCATGTTCAAGGGAACTCCTGACCCACCACCCCAGAAACCGCAAAGGCCCACTAAGGTAGGTGAAGCCAGATTGTTCCAAGGAAGATCACCCCTTCCCAGCCTTGAGCCACAAAGCTGTTCCTGGAGGACCGTTTATTTCCTATATAACAATGCCCCAGTGCTCACCATTTCCATCCTGATCGCGCTACCCCGCAAAACACTAAAGTGACCATACTATTTAACAACCCCCCCCCCCGAAGCCAATAAACCAACACCACCATCATCAGTTCAAGGTAGGCAAAAACAACTCCATACATAGGCCAAAGTGATGGAGGCGAAAAATTCCTACCTGGCTCCATAAAAAGGCAACCGGTCAGACCTGCACTAAAATAGGGTGGGGGGGCGAGCTCTACCAATTGACTGTAAGGCAGGGGGCAGGAGCCAAGCCTAGACAGGCTGGCTCTGCCCCGGAGGCGAAAAATTCCTACCTGGCTCCATAAAAAGGCAACCGGTCAGACCTGCACTAAAATAGGGTGGGGGGGCGAGCTCTACCAATTGACTGTAAGGCAGGGGGCAGGAGCCAAGCCTAGACAGGCTGGCTCTGCCCCCTGTTGGTTCCTTACTCTTCATGCCTCTCATGGAGGCAAAGCAGCCCTCCCCCCACCAGCGTAGGCTCGGCGGGGGTTGGGGCTCGCATTATGTTCTAATAAAATATTGATGTAGAATTAAATAACATGACTAGAAATGGAGATACCCAAATGCGGCAAATCCATAAGTGTGTTTGAACTTCCTATGCACACAGTAATAGTTTATACAACAGCTTTCCTGTTCTATCTAATGGTAGGAACAGTTAGGTGCATTCATTCCATTTTACAGCCCAAGATTCCACCCATTAAACCCTCATGTTTCTGCATGGGAATTAAAATCACAAGGAGACCATCCCAACAATCAAAGAATCTCATCTGGTGGATACACAAGAGAGGATCTTTTCAGTGGCAATTCTACAATTATGGGATAATCTCCTGAGGAAAGTGCACCTGGCCCCCCTCCCTGAAGAGTTTTATTCAGGATAGCATGTGATAAGTTTCTTTTTACCTACCAGCAGTTTTAAAATGTGATTTTAATTCATAGGCTTCAATGGATTTTATGTTTTTAAACGTTCAATTTACATTGTGAATAGAGTTCTGTGAGGCAGAAAGGCAGCTAATAAACCTTTTAAATAAACAAATTCCCAAAGCACATGCAAAAACTTCAGAGGACAGGAGTTCTCGTGGGCAAAAGTGACCCTCCTCACAACTTTGGGCCCAAGCTATTAATCTTTGGTCATAAGAAAGATTTTAGTACCCAGTTTCCATATTGCTCCCTTTACCTCTTTGTTCCTGAGACTATATATTATGGGGTTCAATATTGGTGTGATCACAGAATAGAACAGAGACAACCACTTGTCAGTGTCCAAAGAGTAACTGGATTTAGGCCGAGCATATGTGAAAAGTGCTGTGCCGTAAAACAGGGTTACTACCATGAGGTGAGAGGAACAAGTGGAGAAGGCCTTGTGCCTGCTTTGGGCCGATCTCATCTTCAAGATAGTAGTGATGATATGGAAGTAAGACACCAGGATGAGAATGAAGGGGAGCATGAGCACCACACCCGCTACTGCAATGACTTGGACTTCATTCCAGTAGGTGTTCCCACAAACAAGCACCATCAGTGGCTGAATCTCACAAAAGAAATGGTTAATTATGTTGGGCCCACAAAAAGGGAGGTTAAAAATGAAGGTGGTGTGTCCTGCTGCCACCAAGAATCCAGCCAGCCAAGATGCTGCAGACAGCCGGACACAAGTTCTCTTGTCCATGGTGGCTGTGTATCGCAGTGGGATGCAGATGGCCATGTAGCGGTCATATGACATAACAGAGAGAAGAAAACATTCAGTGACACCAAACAGTAAAAAGAAATAGAGCTGTGTGGCACACCCAATGAAAGAGATTCTGCTTTCTGCCAAGGAGAGACTTACGAGCATGTTGGGTATGGTGACAGAGGTGAAACATAATTCCAAGAAAGACAGGTTCCTTAGGAAGAAATACATGGGAGTCTGCAGGATGGTATCAAAAGTGATGGTGACAACAATGACAATATTACCAAGTATTGTAAAGAAGTACAGGCATAAAAACACTACAAACAGTAAAAACTTCATTTCTGGGAGTTTTGAGAAGCCCAATATAATGAATTCGGTCACAGATGTTTCATTGGCCATGACTTATCCTTTATCATATTTCCCCTGAGAACTGAAAAAAGAAGAAATTGTTGCAGTTATTTCTACTGACACATAGTAAAAGATTATGGATAGAGAACTAAACCTATTATATATGCATCTTGTTGAATGTATATATATATACAAATATGGATTTTGTTCCATGTTTTTCCTGCCTATGGAAGAAGCTCACTATGCCATTATTTTCAAAGTACCCTTGTGAACCAGGATGGTTTAGTGATGCCACTTGTCCAAGACCACTGTCGGGATCAACTTAGCAGTTACATGAAATTTGTTGTCCTGAGATGTCACAGAACAAATTTCCTTGATGTCAGTTTCATAGTGAATTTGAATGTTACTTCCCAGATGAAATATCTAAGGGACTTCAAGGAAAGCAACAGCAGTTTAAAGATTAACCACATTTCTATACTACAGGATGTGTGTGTTTGTTTTCTTGCACATATGCAGGTTCCATGCCATCTTGAATTTCATCTTACTGTACACAAAGTGAAATTTGAGACATATTTCTGTGATACAATATTTGAGACACTGAGTAAAACCAAAAGAATTTGGATAGGATTAGAGCAATTCATCTAGGACTGCACATCTTCCAAAAGCCACCTATTGATACACTGTAATGAAATGTAACCAAGAGGGTTCCAGCACACACAAGATGGTCCACCAAAAGCTGCTGGAAAGAAAATTGGCTCAGCTTTAGTCATATCCCTGGGAAAGGAGGGGGGAAAGTTCCAATGCTTCTGTTCCACTGGTAGTAGAGTCTTCTTTTGGTTCATAGAAACGTCCTTGGGTACAAAGTTCCTTAGATCCATCCTGGATATTCTAGGCAATCTGCAGTGCCATAACAAGCAGTTTTATACCCTTCTAATTCCACAGACTTCAATAGACTGAGAATGTTGTAACTCTGGTTAATATGGCACTGCTGTTCTGGCACCTAGGGACATTAACAACTTTGCCGAAATTAAAGCCTTCCTGTGAATGTTTCAGTATTATGCAGAATGGGTAGGTTGCATTTTCTTTATAGTTTCTGAACTATGCTCTCATTTATCAGAGAAATCTGGCTACCAGATCCTGGCAGATACCATTAACCTCCCAGAAATTGTGTTGCTCACTAGCAGTGCAAGCTTTATAGACTTCTAAGTCCATGGATTTAGAAGGGTATGACTTTTCTTAGGATTTCATTAGACATCTCTTTTATTCTGTCTTCTCAATATCTAGTATCAGCATCACACTCCTTACCAAACATTGGGATTTGTTTTCTTTCCAGCAGAAGTACACTGTTTTACCTTTCAGAACTTTGTGAAGGAAAATTCTGTCTAGCCACAAATGAATCAAATTACCAATACTGATCACGATTCATACATATTTACCTTACTTTGCTGTTTGTTTTTTTGCCACTTGTAGCACACATAAACCCAAAGATATCATTGTGAGATGTAGAGACAGAGTCAAACTCATGTAAGTGTGATGGAGGATCTTCCATGTAAATGTTAGGTGATACGTAGATATTCCAAAGGATGGCAATTTTTGAATTACAAATTCGGTCCCCAGGCGCCACAAATGTTAAATGCCTTTTGAGACATTCTTCAGAATGTTAACATTGATATCAGTTCCTCTTCTTAATGAAAATCTATAAGTCCAAAAATGAGAACCAGTAACTGCAAATACTCTCAGTACCAGCTAATAAGAGAATGTGATTTGGCCATGCTATTCCCACACATGTAACTTGTATTTATAAGGAGAGCTGGAACTGATGTGTGTGATATATTTCTTGGCATTATTAGTAGCTCAAAGGAATTCATGATTAACGTCAATGAGGTAATTAATGCATAACACATGGCCCAATGGAAAAGCCGCAAATAATGATGTTTCTCAAAAATATTTGAGAATTTTTATTTTATATACCAGACATACAAAGACAAACATACATAAATACACATATGGGGAATTTCCTTTACATCATTTTGATCTAGTTGATGTTCTCATACAGTATCTAAGTATATTCATTACTATTTTTACCTTATAGATTACTCATATATCTTTTGCATATAGTTAAAACATAGTTTTTTAAAAAATAAAATATAGAAGGACTAGAGATCTCTTCAAGAAAATTGGAGAAATCAAGGGAGTGTTCCATGCAAAGCTGGCCATGATAAAGGATAAAAATGGTAGGGACCTAACAGAAGCAGAAGAGATTAGGAAAATATGGCAAGAATACACAGAAGAACTATACAAGAAAGACCTCGATGTCCTTGACAACCATGATGGTATAATCACTGACCTCGAGCCAGACATCCTAGAATGTGAAGTTAAATGGGCCTTAGAAAGCATTACTAACAACAAAGCTAGTGGAGGTGATGGTATTCCAGCTGAGCTATTCAAAGTCTTAAAAGATGATGCTGTTAGTGCTGCACTCAATTTGCCAGCAAATTTGGAAAACGCAACAGTGGCCACAGGATTTAAAAAAGGTCAGTATACATTCCAATCCCAAAGAAGGGTAATGCCAAGGAATGTTCAAACTATCGCACAATTGCACTCATATCACACACTAGCAAGGTCATGCTCAAGATCCTACAAGCTAGGCTTCAACAGTACGTGGATAGAGAACTGCCAGAAGTACAAGCTGGGTTTCGAAGAGGTAGAGGAACTAGAGATCAAATTGCCAACATTCGCTGGATTATGGAGAAAGCAAGAGAATACCAGAAAAACATCTACTTCTGCTTCATTGACTATGCTAAAGCCTTCGACTGTGTGTATCACAACAAACTATGGCAGGTCCTTAAAGAGATGGGAGTACCAGACCACCTCACATGTCTCTTGAGAAACCTGTATAAGGGCCAAGAAGCGACAGTTAGAACCGGATATGGAACAACTGATTGGTTTCGCATAGGAAAAAGGAGTACGACAAGGATGTATATTGTCACCTTGCTCATTTAATATATATGCAGAGTACATCATGCGAAATGCTGGCCTGGATGAATCACAAGCGGGAATTAAGATTGCTGGGGAAAAGATCAACAACCTCAGATATGCAGACGATACCACTCTAATGACAGAAAGTGAAGAGGACCTAAAGAGCCTCTTGCTCAGGGTAAAAGAGGAGAGCACAAAAGTGGGCTTGAAGCTCAACATCAAAAAAACTAAGATCATGGCATCCGGCCCCATCACTCCTTGGCAAATAGAAGGGGAAGTCGTGGAAGTAGTGACAGACTTCACGTTCCTGGGATCCCAGATCTCCACAGACTGTGACAGCAGCCATGAAATTACCTCCATCACACCTCCATCACACCTCTCCTTGGGAGGAAAGTGATGGTGAACCTAAACAGCATGATAAAAAGTAGAGACATCACCCTGCCAACAAAAGTCTGCATGGTAAAAGCAATGGTATTCCCAGTAGTCATGTATGGCTGCGAGAGTTGGACTATAAGGAAGGCTGAGCGCCGAAGAATAGATTCTTTTGAACTATGGTGCTGGAGAAGACTCTTGAGAGTCCCTTGGACTGCAAGAAGATCAAATCAGTCAATCCTAAAAGTAATCAACCCTGACTGTTCCCTGGAAGGCCAGATAATGAAACTGAAGCTCAAATACTTTGGCCCCCAAATGAGAAGGGAGCACTCACTGGAGAAGACCCTGATGCTGGGAAAGATTGAAGGTCAAAGAAGACGGGGCGGCAAGGGATGAGATGGTTAGACAGTGTCATAGATGCAATGAACATGAAATTGAGTCAACTTCAGAGGATGGCAGAAGACAGGAAGGCCTGGCGTGATCTGGTCCACGGGGTCGCAAAGAGTCAGACTGAACAACAAAAATAATATATCTTTTATTTCCTTTCCTTTCAGTTCGATGTCTGAGAGTTTCGTATCTTGTACTCTTCTATCCATTTATAAAATCTTGACCATCTATCTTCAAAGTCTTCTTTGGTGTGTCCTCTCAGAATTGAGGTTAATTTGTCTATCTCTGCTGTTATCAATATTTTACTTATAGTCTCTTATAGTCTCTCCTTATTATACATGTAGTAACAGCAGCAAGAATCGTATATGCCAAGTATTGAGAATGATGATGTTTCTCCATGATTGCTAAACTGTAGCATTGTTAATAGAAATCCATGAAACCCAATGATCCTTTTCCTTTCCTCTTTTTGAAAATCTGGAGTCTATTTAAACCCCTACCCAACACCTGAAAGGAGCAGTGGAGTAGGGGGGGGGGAAACAAGGGTGGGAGGTGGACAGTCGCCCAAAGTACATGGCCCCAGCAGACCCTCCAGACAGAGTTCCTCATGTCTAGCAGCAGCGAGGATCCCATGTGGGGTGCCCCAAGGGGCTTCTCAAGGGTAGTACAACCACCTGTTCTCACCTCCCTTTTATCCTTTAAACAGCCCTGTGAGGCAGAGTACCCTGAAAGAAAGTGACTGGTGAGTTAGGGCAGAGAGGGGAGGTGAACCCCACTCTCACATGGGCTAATCCAATGGTTTTCTTCTCCCTCCTCCAGTGATAGAAGCTGCTAGTGGAAGAAGGAGATGTAAGTGATTTTACTAAATCCCCACCCTTTCTCACTGAAGCTGTGCCACAGTCTTTCCTTTGGATCCAACACATACAGATCTTGTGGTCATAGACATTATCTTACTCTTTCTTTATAGACTACACAGTATAGCTAGTTGACCCTTCTCCTCTTTGTCTATAATAAAATGTTGAAGCACATGGATATTGTTTCTGCCTTAGAGTAGATAGTGGTGTGTCCACTCTTAAAAAAACTTCCTGTGGAACCAGGAGAGTCAAATAACTACCTCCCAGTCTAAAATGTACCATTCTTGAGCGAGGTGATTGAACAAGTGGTGGCTGGGCAACTTCAGAGATTCATGAATAAATCATATTGTTCAGATGCATTCAAATCTGGTTTCGGGGCTGGTTATGAAACTGAAACAGCCTTCATCACCCTGGTGGATGACATGCACTGGGAGATGGACAGAAGGAGTGTTACCCTATTAT